TCCACAAACATAGCAGCCTGTTTTTTTTTTTTTTTTTTTTTTTTTGGCAGCTGGCCGTTACGGGTGTCCAAACCCTTGACTTTGGTGTTACAACACCACACTCTAACAAAGCTGTGTCCTTGTGAATGCTGTCCTCTCAATCACCTGGACTAAGAATGCCCCCTCTGCACCCCCTCCTCCTGCCCAACACTGCTCAAGCACTACCCTCTCTGAAGCCTTCCCCCGACTTCTCTCCTTTCCCTTAGGAACAGTAGTAGTTGACCAAGCCTAGAAGAGTCCTGGCCATATTTGGGGGGATTCTACATACATTGAAACATGAAGTGCCAAACAGGGGTTCAAAAATGGCCATCCACAAGACAGATGAAGCATTCTTTAAAATGCATATAGATATTAATTCATAGTTTATTACTACGGGCAGTAGCTGAACTTCTTTGAAACTTGTCAATGTATCCTTGTCACTATGGATGTCCCCTGATCTGGATACAATTTGAGGCCTTTCCTGAATACCAGGCTTGGGCCAAAGGACCCTCAGGGCCCCACCTCATGTGGTTTCCTCTCACAATTAAAGCCATAGTGTCCCCTCATACCTGCCCCCTCCTCAAGGAGATAGGGATTTTTGAAGGCTAGGGACTTTTGAAAGTTAAGACCCTATAAACTATGACTTACTCCCAATACCTCTTAGCATTCACTGGGTGTGATATAAGCGTTGGATGGATGGATGGATGCAAATTGGAACCAAAACCAGAATTAGACACTTTAGCCAAAACGAAGAACCTCCAGTAGGACCATAGTCACTATCTAAATCTCCATGGAAAACAGATTTGTGATGAGCAGGACTTCTGCAGGCTACTCACCAGGAAGTACTGCCTCACAAGTGGAGCTATCCATACCACGTGTGGAAGATTCTAGCAACCCAGCGTCTGCTTTTAGTATCAAATGTTTCCACATAGAGAGGAAGATGCACCCTTTATTTTTTGGTGTGCTATCCCTACCAAGTGTGGAAGATTCTAGCAACCCAGTGTCTGCTTTTAGTATCAAATGTTTCCACATAGAGAGGAAGATGCACCCTTTATTTTTTGGTGAAGACAACTAGCATTTATTGACAGTCAACTCATTTAATCCTCACAGTAATCCTTCAGCTGGTATTACTATTGTATTTTATCTACGAGGAATGTAAGGCACAAACAGTTTAGGTAACATGTCCAAGGTCAGCCAGTCAAAATTAAACACAGACCCACCTAATTCGAAAGGCACTGCTTGTGCCTTTCTACTACAACATACAGGCTGAGATTTTATTGAAGGAAAATGTTTGAAATCTCCAACTCTCCCCATCAAATATGGGAATATGGTACAGGGGCTAGTGTTCAACCTGAGTTACAGTTCTCTCGGAATAAATATCCCCTGTAGACAAGAACTTCTTGTGCAACTCCAGTAGCCATGGTTTCTATCAGAAATTACCTCTTTGTGATTTCTGGAATAAAATCATCTCCCTAGGAAGAGAAACTTTTGGGATCTGAGAGATTTCTTCAGAGCATCCATTCAAACACATGAAATTCATCCCAGCATTCAAAATACCTAAAGAGAAGACTGTCTGGATGAGGAGGGACCCAGTCCCCCTCCTTTTCTTCCTCCTGAGACATTCTTTTCTCTTTGCCACATGGAGCCCCCACAGCTACCATGTTCTTTCTCTGTCAAACATTAACTCAAATTTTAATGTTTGCCTTCTGTGATTCTCCTTAGTATAGTTGATTGAGACAGGGTGCATTTTCTGAAACCTTTCCCAAGTACTAAAGAGTAAATAATTTACCAAAAAGTAAATAATCAAAACATTCAAACAAAAAGTCAAGTTTCTAAAGCATCATTTTATTGTCCTATAGAGTTATTGTGATCGCAAAGAGATCAGCTTTTAGCTTTGTGCCTTCTATACCCCAGCGTTCATATTCACCTAAGCAATCAGGTTTAGTGTTGAGCAATTGTGTGCTTGTCAACAAGGTCAGTTTCTATTAACAAAGACATTAAATTAGAAGTGAAGCAACTGCATTAACTGACCCTGGATGTGGTATAGTCTCCCGTGTCTCCTACTTGGAAGAAAAGAAGATATTTTTTCCTTAATACAAAAGAAGAATCTAATCTGTGATGAGACCACCGATGTCTTGACCCTCACCCCAGAAGCTTCTGTTTCAGCAGGTATGGGATGAAAAAAAAAAATCTAAGAAAGTACTCCCAGAGGATTCTGATGGTCCCTTATTCAGAACTAGTGATATTATGGACTTCATATTATAAATTAAAAAAAAAAAATTTGGAGAGTTAAATATACCTGCCCAAAGTCACCCATCTAATTATCTTTCTTAGTACATTGAATTGCTTTATCTTAACCACTTACTCTTAGATGGAAACTTCCATAAATGACCATACTATTGACCAAAAAAATTATAAAAGGAAAGTATAAAGGTAAAAGCATTAAAGAAAATGCATCAAACCTCAGTTTTCACAAAGACGGCAGACAAACTACTTGAAATATACAAAATACTCTGTTTCTAGAATACATAGCTGAGCTTTTAAGAATATAATGCAAATTCCCAGTGTCCTAAAAACAAATAGGAATTAGGAAACCCATAATAATCAATTAGATTAAAGCCACAGTTTCTTAAAGTATTTGCCAATTCCATTGACCCAGAACATTGGGTTTTAAGTTCAAATAAAAGACAAAGACTTGGGCCTGCAAGAGGTGGTGGTGGTGGTGGTGGGGGTTATATATATATATATTTTTTTTTTAATTGATGTAATTACAAGGGAAATGGATGAACCCTCAATCATAGTAGACTTAACATTTCTCTCAGTAATTAATAAGCAAGCAAACAAAATATGGTAAGGGGGGTTATATATATATATATATATATTTTAATTGATGTAATTACAAGGGAAATGGATGAACCATGAATCATAGTAGACTTAACATTTCTCTCAGTAATTAATAAGCAAGCAAACAAAATATGGTAAGGTTATACATGATCAATAAGTATTGATCTAATATGTATAATACATATTGGTCTAATATGTATTATACATAATCTTTCTTGAAACACATGAAACATGAAATAGATCATGTCCAAGACCATAAAGTCAGTCTCAGGACATTTTAGTGGATCTGTATCATGCAGACCACATCCTCTAGAAAAAAAATATATAAAAGTAAACACAAATCATAAAAAAAAACCCTATACATTTGAAAATATTGAACTCCTATATAACTCATGACAAAAAATAAATCATATGGAAAATGTTTAACAATCAGAACTGTTCAATATCACAAGCAGTACGTTTTAAAAATATGTAGGACGCTGCTAAAGTTACTTGGAGATCCTTAAATGCTTATACTAGAAAATAGTTCAGTATAAGACAGAATTATAGAGAACAAATTTAGATGAAGAGATGATCCTATTTTGGTTGAAAGTCAGGGAAGATTGAACAGAAGAGGTTATGGGATTTGAAGAACTTGGGAAGAACACAGTTGAGAGGAAGAACAGCCTGTGTAAGCTGCTCAAGGAGATGAAAAGCCTGGGAACACACAGGGACAGGTGAGTGTGAGCCACCTCTAAGATTTTATCTGCTGTGTTTGCTCTGCAGAATCACTCAGCCTCCATGACCGAAGTTACCTGAAACTGCTGATGCATCACAAGCTGTTTTTTAAATCACCTTCCAATTCGATACTTCAAAACACACAGTTACTCAATTTCAAACTGTGAAGACAAGTATTATGTTTATCTAGTTAGAGGCTAATGTTTTGTACATTTTTTGTATAAGGAAGTGATGTAGCCTGCCCTGATTTTTTTTTTTTGGGGGGGGTGGGGGTGGAAGGGGGTCAGCTTTAAAATATTTATGCCAGAATTTTAAAACCAACAAAAGTTTCTTCTTGTTCAAGTGTGCATTTAAGAACCACATTTATTCAATGGTTGATGTTGTTTTGTGATATTTGTACACAAACCTTCTTTTCTCAGTTTTGTAGACACAGAAATAAATATAAAAATTCACTTCAAACTTTTATTACCACAGTTGCTGCCTTCTCCAGAATTTTTGAACTTTAATGAAAGTTAAACTTTTGAGTTCCAGGAAGGATAATGTTGGTTAATGATAAATCTCCAAGTCAATTGTGGGGAAAAAAATATTACCTTTGAAAAGAACTTTGCGTTCTGATTTCTTAACAGGTTGTTACATTTGACTCATTTTTCTAGCATGGTGATAACTGATGTGTAACTCCTTTGAGAGGAGCTCCTTTGTCTGTATCTATCAGAATGTTTTCTTGACACTTCCATGTTGGCTCTCTTAGCTTTTTTTGTACATATTTTTTTTTCTAAAGAGAAGAAAAAGTTATCACAAAATGTATTATGACTCATGTCCTTTGTTTTAAGTTTCATCCACTGGGCAAAGTTATTTGATGGAGTGACCTCAACTAATGTTTGTGTACTTTTCAGTTCCACATTTGCCGAGACGAATCCTAATCGGAGCATGACTGACTGAGAAGTCACTTCATGAATGTGTGTGTGTGTGTGTGTGTGTGTGTGT